TGTTTTTCTATAAACTGTGATCATTGTTGGGAGTTTATTGTCTACTATCACAGAAATACCTGTGAGTGAAACTGGCATGTGGAAAATGCTGGTTTTCAAACCTGATACTCAGATATAATTCCTGCTAAGGACACATCCCAAAGAGAATCTTGAACACTACAAGGACCCACGTGTAAATGTGGATGAGAACCCATGCAAATGCATGTAAGTCCTTTACATAGTAACACAGATCATATGAGAACAGGAGGAAAACAACCCTTCAGAATTTCATAATTTCCCAAAAATAGCATCCAAAATCTTTGGTCTAACCTCACATAAAGAGGTAAAGTAAACATTTTCATAATTTTATTGATTTCTTGCAGACAATGGATAGGAAACAAGTATTGTTTGTACATTAGCAGAACAATACCCATCCTGAGGTGTTCTCATCCCATAAGGAGAGAGTTTTGTTTCTGATTGGAGCCTGTTCCCTTCCTCAATGGAGACACTGGAAACCTTGGCCTAGATGACAGGTAATGTGAAATTAAATGTTAAGCCTTTGGGAATGAAGATGCTTTTTCCATGAATGGATTCAGTGAGTCATTGTCTTTCCTGTGTTCCTGGTTTCAAATGGTTATTTCTAAGTCTCCAAGTTATCACCCTCCACTTATGGATGGTGCACAGATGCAAACACAAACATTCTTCAAAAATATAGGAACACTGCTAATATAAAGCTTACCTGTAATCACCTTGATTTCTAAAGCTATTTTTATATTAATGATCTGTTAACATCTTTACACTTAAATATTAATTTGTGATGTTTGGATCCCCAAAGAGTGTTCTATGAGTTCAATTCACTTGGCCTAATTGATCTACTGAGAATGAGAAAAATAGAAGTAATTTGGAATTTGACACATGTACATACTTGTTGTTTGCTGTGCCCAGAACCTTCAAGTCTCTGTTGCTCTTCTTGGGATATCTTGCCCAAATGGGACTCTGCTGAAAAATGCACAAATTTTTAAACTACTTAGAAAATAATGTGAATGGCAATTAATCCAAGTAAAAAGGAACAGTAGTAATAGTCCTATCATTTTACTTTCCTCAAAATACAGTTTCAATCAAGCTTAATTTTAGGTGAATAAATCTCATGTTTGAAATTTTTATTTTGTTTGCATGTAGGCCTGGGTATTTTATCCAGGAACATTTATATCCTTGGCGAGCACTATTGCATTTATATCAAATTCCCTGTCTTAATATTTGGAGACAGGGCGTCTGTAAGTACCAAAGTTGGCTTGAAACCTGACAGGGATCTGTCCTCAGCCTTTTAAGTACCTGCAATTATAGATGTGTCCCTCTGAAGCTAGTACATATTGATATCAATTAGTAATAATTTTAGTGATCAATGCATCAGAGCACCAATTGGGGTCATACCCTGTGTCACTATGTACAATGCTAAAATAACTCACAGGTTGATCTACTTTAGGTGAAAGTGAATTTCACAGAGAAAAAATTATATTTCTATGGAAATAGGAGGCATCAGAATTTTTACTATCTCTTCTTTTACATATTATATTTAAAAATGTCCATTGTACATCATTTGTGATATCTTGCAAAAGTGATCACATTTACATCTTTATCAACAAATTTCAAAGTTTTTAAAAATTTGTTTTGTTTCTTTTCTTTTTTACTATTAGGAATCAGTCTGACTTGTGAAGCATCTATGATTATTGCTGTTATTCCTGATGTAAAGTCTTTTTTCTTTTGCTGGGGCTTCAACAGACATTTTATAGCTTCCAAACTGGGTAATAAACATGTGACCTGTAAAGTATTCATTTTCCTGTCTACTTCCTCATTTCCTGGACTTGAGTGGACTACTTTTATATTATGTTGCAGTCAACATTTTTATTAATTTCCACCACAGTTGAGTTTGTGATAAGAGCCTTAGAAAACAGGTGCTAGCGATGATTTATATTCTAGAGATGGAGATAGTGGAGACTTCACAAGTGAGATTACCTACCAGAGGCTAGAAATACTCAGAGCTGAAAGGCTGTACATAGAGACAGGGTTTAAATAGGAACATGTTTTATGATGATTTAGGGATTGGTGAGAGAAGAGCAAGAGGACAGTGCAGGCAGATAGAGGGAACAAGATAGAGACTGAGGCAAAATTTACATTATGAAAGATTCCTAGGAAAGTTAAGATGCTTGGACATTCATGTTCTAAAGAGGGAGAATGGTCATATGTGCAGTATATGCATAAATAACAGGACCATCCTCAGTGCTATGAGCAGGTGATGATGAAGAAGGACCTGTGCATGAATGGAGATGAATAATGAGAAGGCAATAAGTGCATTAGCAAGTTGATGCCAGCCTGAATGGAGGGAATATTTCCAGAAATACAGAGGATAGAAAATTGTCAGTGACCTTTTTACAATGAAGATTAATGACATGAACAAAGAAAAAAGGTAGGCCACAGGAATGTATGGTTTTTTACCTCACAGTTACAAAGATTTCAAATAAGAAGTGCAGTAAAGTACAGCTAATGTGAATGTTGATTTTCTTTACCAAGTAGTCTTTCTTACGGTAACATCTTCCTATGTTCAGGAAACTCCTTTAGGAAGAAGGTGGGCAATTTTCTGAATCTTGGATACATGAAACACACCAGAAAATGAGAGAGGTCTCTGGGAGAGGTTCAGTGGGAGATCACTGCTTAGCATGTAAAAGGATCCTGTTCAGTGCCCAGCATTGAGAAGAATAGGAACAAACAAACCGTGTCAAAGAAATATGAGCAAATGTTTCTTTGGTATATGCAAGTATATATTTGATTTACAACTCTTAGTCAAAATTTCTGGAAAACTGTACTCCAACAAATGGATATCTATGTGCAAAAAAGGGCCAATAAAAGCAGTAAAATGAATTAAATATGTGTGTTGAGTAAAGCCACAAGACTCAAAGTACTTAAACAAAATCAGGAATATGGGCTCAGTAATATTTACACAGTTGAGTTTTAAAGGAAAAATCATTTTTGGAATGACCAATTATAGAAAGACATAGGTATATATACCAGTGTCAAGATGCAGAATGATCTGTAGTCAGAGGAGGAAAGAAGAAGCCTGAGAAATTCAGTGTCAAAGCTGAGTTAAAAATGTGGCAGTGCAAATCTTTAGTGAATCTTACCAGAATCATTTAATATATTTTATTATGTTTCCTAATCCTCATTTGCCTTATAATTAATAATTCCAAAATTGTTATGAAATTCCCAGGGAAGATATAATTGTTTGCTCATCATGGAGAGTTTTCTGAGCTATAATCAGCTCAGATATATGTGCTGAGAGCATCAGCTAACACCATCTCAATGTTTGTTCATACCCATGTGGGAAACTGGTGTGTCATCTTTTCCTTTATCCACTCATTTAACCAACATCAGTTTTATATTTCCTCTCTTGTATGAAGAAAGTGATATAACATGTATGGGAAAAAAAAGATGTATGATAAGGCTCAAAGGATTCAGACAAGGCCAACCCAAAGAAAAATTGTTTTGAAAACTTAAAGAGTTATCAGATATCAATAAACCATTGTGTTTTAAAGAAATCGGTAAATACATTAAGAGTAATAGTGTTAGTGTTTGAGGAGTAAACTGAATAAAAGTTTCTGGTTAAAATTTGAGTCTGCTGTGGCATATGTAGACAGCTTTTTAAGGAATTGCACACAAGTCCCAGATCATCCCAACATCTATCTGCTTTCTAGAGTTCAGAATTTTTCTCAGTAATACGGTGCATTCCTGGCATGTCCAGGGACATGGTTTCTCACAAAAATCAATAAAATAATGATGAAAGCAAAATATTAAGGATGTTAATAAGAAATGTATAGATGAAAATATTAGACTTCTTTAAAGTAAAGAATCCTTAAAAAATGCAATGTTGCTACTCTGAATGACACATACAAATACCTCACACAATGTGGTGCCTACTAAATAAGAAGGGGAGAAATTGGTAGCTGTAGGGTACCCTGATTCTTCCAGCTGCTACTCGTTCTTATCATCTTAGCACCAGATTTTGACTTGAAAGCAGACAAACTGAAGAGAGCTGACTAGAATTCTCTCCATTTACTTCTATTTTCTACCTAAATGCTATTTCCTCCCCCCTCACTTTCCCTTTAGTTTTTCCAAAAAATCCATAAAGTGGGAGCTTCCCTTTTTCCATTTTACACCCTTTATATGGATCTTTGCCACGATTTGTTGCCTGCCAAAGTAACAGATTTATCTTAGAAATATCATTTCTTCATCTTAGTCCTATGTCCTTTGCACATCTCAAGAGACATGCTCAGAATGAAAGCCAGATTTATGATTGCACTTGATCCGGTTGTGTCCTCAAACTGTAGGAATCAATAGCAATTCTTGCATATTTCCCAAAAGGAGATACAATGCACAGATCCAAATCATGTTGTTTATACATCAGAATCATTGGAATCACCTTAGATTCTAATGGACAAGTAGAAGCAAGAGTTTCAAGATGGTGCCCAAAGGATGATTCCTTATAGTTGCAGAGTTCCAGTGTGAAATTTGTCATCTTCAAATTCATCTAAGTTAATTTCAATGTAACTGTGGATTCCTCCCTAAAATGTCCCCACAAATTAAAATTCATAAGGATGTGTAATATCTTCATTGATAATTTTTCATTATTAATTTTAGATTAGATATCTGTGGATGTTGGACATGCTTAATTACCATTCATACTTCTTTCTACTTTTACATTTGGTGTTTCTGCACTATCATTTTGCCCTAGGCTGTATCAACATATTATATGTCATTAAATCATTTGGGGTAACTGAACTTAGCTCTGTGGCAACAGGTATTCACTCCTCAATTTATTCCCAACTGTGAATAAGTCAAAAAGGGTGGGAAAGTTTTACTTTCCCCTTCACTCAACTTTGGGAATGGAAACATGCAAATTCTTCCCACATTTTGAAAACCCTGTTCTTTTCCCTTTTCAAGGGTTGTTGAAATTTCCTACCCTATCCTGACTACCATTTATTCTTTCTATTTTTTTTTACTATGTGTACTTACTGCCTTTCTCAGTCTTCACTCCCTCTTCTTCTGTTATTTTCCTTATTTCAGATTTACCTGTGAGAGAAGCATGTGTCAAATGCAATTCACAATGCAATTCCTTAAGCAATACATTCAATTCAACCTGTGGCTGAAAAGTAATGAAATACACCATTTCTTATATTTATTTAACCCTACTATTTATTTTAATAGACATATTTCTTGAACAAGTACTGTATGCCAGTGCTCATATTTTTTGGCAATGCCCTTTACAATGTATTTTGTATTCTATATGGTTCTTACCTTGTCCATGTCCATTTATTGTCTTTGTGCTTGGTTCAAATGTCCTGGACCCACAAGCAGCACACACCTTTTGATGTTTCTCAGAATCACTCTGGTAAAAATAATGACAATAATAAGTTTCATATAGCTTTCTGCATCCCTCTCTGACCATCATTATATTTATAGTTAGGAAGACATTGCAATTGCAGATTACACCATTACATTTTCTGCAACAATATTTCCATATAAGACACAATTTCACATGCTGTCTTGATGAAGCTGAGCTCCTCTCTTCATCTGGCTACTGATGGGGAACATCAGGAAGAATGAAAGAGGAAATGTATTCTCTTACACCAAACTCACTGATATGCATATATCCAAAACAACTAACATCAGTGCTTAATTAGTAAGCTCTGCATTCTTACTCAAATCTAAAAACAGAGTAGAAAATTTATTTAAAATGCTTTTGTGAATTAGATTTCATGTTTTACAGATTCAATATTTCTAACAATGAAGGGCCAATTGTTTTATTGATTTATATGATACTTGTTATGATAAGAGACCGTCCAATGGGTCACCTCCAGTAGGAAGAAAATACTCTTGGACTTGTTTCATTTGAGTCTCCAGAGACTTCCAAATATTTACCTCATTGAGCAGTAAAAGAAGAGAGAGTCAATAAGAGAATGTGTCTATTTTGTATTCTAATTTGTTACATATGACAGAATGATTACAATTCATATTACACATAAAGAGCACAATTTTTCATATCTCTGGTTGTGTATAAAGTATAGTGCATATTTTATGTGAACAAAGAAGCACACTCAATTTGGTTAGAGAATGCAATACTTTTCATCGAAGAAGGAACTAAAAGGAATTTCAAAATAGTAAGGCAGAAGCACAGCATTACACTGAGTTTCTTGACTGACTACTTTCAAAGTTTGGAACTAGAAAAACCGATGAATCTGCATAACGAATAAGACAGCCTGTGTGGAAATACTGGGGACCCTCAACAGGAAACAGTGACCAGATGAAAATACATGTGCCTACACTCCACGTAGGGTCAAACCACTCAGCTGACAGGCATTTCAAGTTCTTGTCCATAGTATCACCACACTGATATTGTAGACACCATCCTGGAAATTACAATAAAATCCTGAGGGCAAACACCTTTGAGAAGTGTTCCATTATAGTACCTCTGTGGGCAACACAGAAATCATGGCTTTTAAAACAAGATGTGCATTCATAGAAGAAATAGACGACAACAGTGCCAGGGAAAACTTCTCACAAACCCAATTAGGCAATGGCAAAAAGCAAGAAATAGGAAGTTCTCAAATCAGGAATTACAAATTGTTCACAGATATATCACATTTGGTCAACATCATGCCATGACTTTATTCTCTTTTATTGCTGAGTAAAATTCCATTGTGTATATATGCCACATTTTTTTCCATTCTAAGGTCATCTAGGTTGGCTCCACAGTTTAGCTATTATGAATTGTGCTGCTATATGAGGGGGAGTAAGGGAGGAATAGATGAACTCTAGATAAGGCAGAGGGATGGGGGTGGGGGAAAGAAGGGTGCAGGGGGTTAGTAAGGATGGTGGAAAGTGATAGACATCATTATCCAAAGTACATGTATGAAGACATGTATGAATTGGTGTCAACATACTTTATATACAACCAGAAATATGAAAAATTGTGCTGTACATGTGTATTAACAGTTGTAACGCATCCCACTGTAATTTATTTTTTAATAAATAAAAAAGAAATATCATTTAAGTCTGAATTGATATTTCAGATGTCCCCAGTAAGAATGACATTTATCAAGTAGTCAAAAAATACATGCAGTGCAGGATGTAGCAGGAAAGTCCAATCCTACACTGCCAGACTGAAAATTAAGACTTCCACACTAGAAAGCATTTTGGAGATTCCTCAGGATTCTAAGAATATGACTCCCATATGACCCAACTTTTCTACTCCTCGATCAGAACCCCAGTGTACCAAAATCAGCATGCACATGTGATTTATGAATGTTGCTGTTTTAGCACTGCAAGTCAAAATTGTAAAGTTCTGGAACTAACTCTGATACCCACCAACAGTAAAATGTATTAAAAAAAAACCCAAAAAGACACTTAGCACTGAATAAGTAGCAATGAATAAGTAGCAATATACTTATTCATTGTACCCACTATGTCAAAATGAATCCCAATCATTTATATGAATTCAGCATCCTAAAATATTCTAATATACAAAAGGCACAAGAGCAAAATCTCCTTAAGTATATAAAGAAAAATAGTTTAGTACAAATAGGAAACTAATGTAGATTCCTCTCAGTTCAAATACAACATTCTCAGCAAAGGAGGGAGTTGAATTTTTTAAGGTGAATCAGCCAGTATTCAAAATACTGCTAAATATTCTAGGCAATATTCAAGAGCCTCTTCTCCCAATGCACATTATCCATACTTTTGCCCCAGATTTCAGAAAGAAATTTCATTCCTATTTTTTAATAAGATGGTCCTCTGAAACAGACAGTGGTTAATGGAGGTACTCACAACAAGTATTAGGGTGGTATAAAACTGAAACTGAGACATAGATCTGTTGATAGCTCTGGGCGGCTACATTTTAATTCTGTGGTCCGCCTGAAGATTAAAAGTTCCTGGCACTTTCACTGAAACATGTTGTTTGATTTTCTGTGACAACAAGTGCCAAGGTTATGCCTGGTGAAAAATTGCTCTCCTGTAAAACAACACACATGTGCATACACACCATGTATGGTCAAGCCACTCAGTTGAGAGGCACTTCAAGTTCTTGTCCATATTATTACCATACTGATATTGTAGACACCATTCAGGGAATTACAATAAAATCCTGAGGGCAGACACCTTTGAGAAGAGTTCCACTGTAGTAACTCTGTGGGCAAGATCTGAAACCACTGCATGTTCGAACTTCCCAGATGCATAGCCAACTCTCCACACAGAATGGTGGAGGTTCACCCTCTTGATATATTCTCAGGATAGTGATAGGAATGGGCTGAAAATTCTCATCAGGAATACATGTGTTGTGTCTGTGGGACAGTTAGCTGAATACCGTTTCATAGAGCACTGCCTCTTTAAATAGGTGGTTTAGAATAATGATAGTGAAGGAGACTGCTTTTTGAGAATTCAAGTGACAGAAGAATCCAGCAGTGCTGGGGCATTGTCAGGTGCAATGGTATGTTCCTTCAGTTCCCAAAAGAAATCACAGGTTCTGTAAGGAGGCCATGACTGCCATGGTCCAATAGGTTGCCAGGAAACCCCTCAGAGACATGGAATCTTGCCCACCTTCAGACCACTGACTACAGGAATCCATCAGGTGGTCTGCATTACATACTGGTCCCTAGGCTCCATGAACCAGAGTGTGTGTCAGGAAGTTTCCACATTAGATAGACTCACATGTCTGAGTACATTAACAAGTAATGATGGTGAGATTCTCCTTGAAATTGCTAAGTTCCCTCAGCATTCTCTGTATGTGGTGGGAGACAAAGGAGCAGAGAAGCTCAGCTTATTCATGCAAATAACAGGTTAGGCCTTTTGGAGCTAGAACAAATAAAGTGTTGAATAATATTTGTTTCCCAGAAACCCCCAAAGTTATGTGTGAGTGAAATTAGAAATCCTGGACAGAAATATCTTCTTTTCTACTATGTAAATATTAGGGAATCTCAAAGCTTTTGCTATTATTGTTTCTGATATTTTTGTTTGATAATTTTTATGAGTTTTCCATGTTATTTATTTTTCTCTTTCTATTTATTTGAGAGTTTTATTCCATTCATTCATTTTTTTTGTTAGCCAGAGACAATTTTTATTCTCATTTTAAATCTTTTCATTTCTCATTTTTATTGCATTTTTCCTCTTCTCCTATTCTGACTCTGCTTACTCTCACCACTTTCACTCTACTTACTTTTTTGAAATATGTTCCAATAATTATATTATAACCAGGATATATTTTTTTTTTTTTGCAGGTTAACCTTGTTATTTCCTACTCCATCTCTTCATTTTGTGCTGCTCTGGAGATCATTTAAAACATAATATTTTATGTACAGTGGATACATATTTTGGTTTATGCTGTGATCATTATTGGAGTTTAGTCTCTCCTGACAGGAGCCAATGCGAACTTGGTGTGAAGCAAATTGACTTAGAAGCCACTGGCTTCTTACAAAGCTGTGTCAGGTTCAGCACTGCACTGGAGATGGGTGGACCAGCTGGAGCCACACAGCTACACAGCCTTTCAGAGTTGGGTGTGGCCTGTCAAGATGCCAATCAACTTCATTGCTGCAAGAACCCTAACACACCAAAAAGCAATATTCCTCCCGCTAAAAACTTATCTCTGCCTTTGATCTACTCTCCCTTAAATAAACAACTTGATCCTTTTTCTAGTTGTTCAGTTCCAGCTTCTACTGGGATTGGGGAACCTTTCAGGAGCTCTGCTTTCCTTTTCAAACTTAATTTCTGGCTCTGTCTCTTATTTCCTTACTAATTACTTGAGACTTTCTTTTTCCCAGGTGGCTTACACCTTCTGAGCAGGAAACTACCCTGGCAAGGTGATGGTGGCTCTGTGATACTCTCCCCTTACAGAGATACTTGTGAGTGAAAGTAACATGTTAAACATGCTCATTTTTCAGATGTGATCCTCATCTATAAACCCTGTCCAGGAAACATCCCAAAGAGAAACTTGCACACTAAAAGTACCCAGGAGACACTATGGAACAGAAATCCATTCAAATGCATGGAAATCCACCATCTACTAACACAGACAACATGAGAACAGAGGAAAAATACACCTCCCAAATTTCATGATTTCTCAATAATTGCATCCAATGACTTAGGTCTAACAACATCTAGATACTAAGAAAAAATATGTTTAATAAGTGAATTGATTTCTTGAAAGGAAATGACATAAAATCAATAGAAATTTTATGTATATTAACAGAAAAGTACCCATCCTGAATCATTCTAATTCCATTAACAGGCAGTTTTGTGTCTCATTTGAGTCTGGTATCTTCCTCAGTAAAGACACAGGAATCCATGGAGAAAAACATCTTTAACCTTGTCATGGGTGACAGCTAATGTGAAATTAAACACTGAGCCTTTGGGAATGAAGCTATTTTTACATGAATGTGTTCAGCGGTCATTGCATTTATGAATGTTCCTAGTTTCACCTGATATGTGATATTTATAAGTCTCCAATTTATCATTCACCATTTAAGGCTGTCACATAGATGAAAATGCAAACATTATTGGAAAATATTAGTGCAATTGCTTGCATAAAGTTTATCTGGCATGCACCTTGATTGCTAAAGCTATTTTGATATTGATGACCAGTTAACTTCTCTGTACTTAAATATTTAATTACTATGTTTGGATTTTCAAAGAGTATTGTAGTAGGTCATTTCAATTGGCATCTGGAAGCAAGAAAAAAAAATGACCAGGAATTTAAATTGACACATATGCCTACCTTTTGCTGGTGATGTGCAGTATCATCCATATCATGAAGCCTCTTCTGTTCTGCCTCAGATGATCTGTACAAATTTGACTCTGCTGACAAATGCACAGATAAACTTAAAGTACTTAAAAATTCATGTGAAAGACAAATTATCCAAATTATAAAAAGGAAGAGTACTAATAATCATATAATTTTATTTGTCCAGTTATATTTTTATTGAAGTTTTACTTTAGAAGAATATATATCATGTGTAAAATTTGTATTGCTGTTTGTGTGTGGGCCTATGTATTTTACCCCAAAACATGTGTATCCTTGGAAAATACTATAATGCTTACTTCAGATCCCAAGTCTTTATCCTGGGAGACAGGGTGTTTTTCAATTCCAGGGTTTTCTGGAAACCTGAGAGGCTGCCTCAGCCTCTCAAGTACCTGCAATTATGGATGTGTTATCTCTGAACCCCATGCATACTGACATCATTGAAGAGTAATTTTACTGGTCCAATACTTCAGAAAACCACATGGGGAGACACTAGGTATCCACCATGTATGATGCCTATAGTAACTCACAACTTGATCCATTCAAGTTGAATGAAAATTTCACAGTAAAAAATTTTTCTATGTACACTATAATCATCACACTTTTACTATCTCTTCCTCAATTATTAAATTTTAAAAATCCATTGTACTTCATTGTGTTCCAAATAAATGATTGCATTTACATCTTAATAGAATGAATTCCATATTATTTTTCTTTTTAGGTTCCATTTCTTCTCATATATTTTTTTTCAATCAAAATTGCCTCTGTCTTGCAAAACATTCATGATTATGCCTGTTATTCCTGACATAAAATGGTTTTCTTTCCTTGGGACTACCTCAGACAGATTACAACTTTTGTGCTGAGTAATAAACATGTGAGTTGTAAAGTATTCATTTTCCTACCCAGTTCATCAGTTACTGGACTTGAGAGGACTGCTTTTATATCATAATACTGTCAAAAGCTTTATTTATTTCCACCTGTAATTGAATTTGTGGTAAGAACTAGAGGAGAAAATAGGGGCCAGGGATGATGTCTTTTCTAGAGATAGAGATTAATGGAGACTTCAAAAGTGAGGTTGTCTGCCAGAGGGAGGAAATGCTGAGGGCATGTGAGACTGTACATACACACAGGGCTTAAATGGAACATGCCTGACTGACTATAGGGATTGGCAAGGAGAACTGCCAGAGGACATCTCAGGCAGAGAGAGGGATCAAAATACATAGTGAGGAAAAATTTGTATTAAGAAAGATTCTTAAGAAATTTAAGATGCTTGGAAATCCATGTTTTAGAGAGGTATTATGGTCATATATGCACTATATGCATAAATAGCAAAACCAACCTCAATGTGATAAGCATGTGACCATGGGTGGAATGTGCATGAATGGAGATGAATAATGAGAAGGCAGTAGTGCACCTGAAAATTGATGCAGGCCTGACTGGATGGAATTTTTCCAAAAATACAGAGGGTATAAAATTTTCAGTGAGATTTATGGAACCCCTTTTAATTAAATGAACAAAGAAAGAAAGTGGCTCACAAGACTGTGGAACCAACCTAGATGCCCTTCAATAGATGAATGGATAAAAAAATGTGGCATTTATATACAATGGAGTATTACTCTGCATTAAAAAATGACAAAATCATAGAATTTGCAGGGAAATGGATGGCATTAGAGTAGATTATGCTAAGTGAAGCTAGCCAATCCCTAAAAAACAAATGCCAAATGTCTTCTTTGATATAAGGAGAGTAACTAAGAACAGAGTAGGTATAAAGAGCATGAGAAGAAGATTAACATTAAACTGGGATGAGAGGTGGGAGGGAAAGGGAGAGAGAAGGGAAATTGCATGGAAATGGAAGGAGACCCTCAGGGTTATACAAAATTACATACAAGAGGAAGTGAGGGGAAAGGGGAAAATAATACAAGGGGGAGAAATGAATGATAGTAGAGGGGGTAGAGAGAGAAGAGGGGAGGGGAGGGGAAGGGAGGGGGAGGGGGGATAGTAGAGGATAGGAAAGGCAGCAGAATACAACAGACACTAGTATGGCAATATGTAAATCAATGGATGTGTAACTGATGTGATTCTGCAATCTGTATATGGGGTAAAAATGGGAGTTCATAACCCACTTGAATCAAAGTGTGAAATATGATATATCAAGAACTATGTAATGTTTTGAACAACCAACAATAAAAAATTAAAAAAAAAAAAAGAAAGTGGCTCACTATGCTTTGAGATCCTGACTGTAACGCAAGGTTTCAAATGACATGTGTAATAAAATGTAGGAACTGTGAATGTTATTTTCCTGTACCATGTAGTTTCTTCTGTAAAAATATCTTCCTGTGTTGAAGGAACTCGTTTAGGTGCTTGGTGCACAATTTTCTGAAACCTGGATTTAGAAAACCCACTAGAGAATTAGAGAGGTCTGTGGGAGAGGTTCAGTGAGACATCAACTGCTTAGCATGCAAAAAGACCTCTTTTAGTGCCCAGTATTGAGGTAAAATGAAGAAATAAAACATGTCATAGAATGTTTAGCAAACACTTCATTGGAATGTGCAAGCATATTCTTGATTTACAACTCAGTAAAAATTTCTAGAAAACTGTTTGCCAATAAATAACACATTCATTTTATATAAAAGCAGTAAAATGAATTACATGTGTGTTGAGTAAAGTCACAAGACTCAAAGTATTAAAACAAAACCAGGAATGTGGGTTCAGTAATATTTGCAGTTAATTTTCCAAAGGAAAAATCATTTTTGAAATGATCAATTATACAATTATTTCGAGATGCAGAATGAACTGTATTTAAAGGAGGAAAGAAGACCCCTGAGAAATTCAATGTCAAAGCTGTTAAAATGTGGCAGTACACATCTTTAGTGAATCTTAGCAGAATCTGTTAATCCATTTTATTATAAGTACTTTTCCAATCCCTTATTTGCCTTAGAATTGACAAGTCTAAAGTAGTGAATTCATCAAAGTTTTTAATAAATAAATAAATAAATAAAGTAGTGATTTAATTCCTGGGGAATATATAATTGTTTGCTCATCATGGAGAGTTTTCTGATGTATGTGTTTAGAGAAAGTCAGCTAACACCATCTGGGTGTTTATCCATACCCATGTGGGAAACTGGTATGTCTTCTTTTCCTGTATCAGGTGGCTCAACCAATTCCAATTTTATTTTTCCTCTGTTGTATGAAGAAAGTGATCTAACATCTATGAAAAAAAAGATATATAATAAAGCACAAAGGATTCAGGCTAGTCCATCAAAAAATTGTTCTGAAATCTTGCAGAAATTGCAGATATCAATAAACTATTATGTTTTGAAGAAATTGGTAAATAAGAGTAACGGTGTTGGTTTTTGAGGAGTAAACTGCATAAAGATTTCTGGTTCCAGTTTGAGTCTGATGTGGCATATCTACAAGGCTTTTAAAGTATTTTCAAAAAAGTCCCAGCTCAGAACAACATTTGTCCTCTAGAGTTCAGAAGGTATCTCAACAGTACTGTGGATTCCTGGCATGTAAGCAACATGGTTTCCCAACAAAACACCAATAAAATAATGGCTTAAACAAAATATATTAATGATTAGAATAGTATGAATGAAAATATTAGCTTTCTTTAAAACAATTAATTCTTCAAAAATGCAATGTTGCTCTTCTGAATGACACATATGGATGCCTCACACATTGTGGGGCCTGCTACATATGGAGGAGAGAAATTGGCAACTGTAGGTTGCCCTTATTCTTCCAGGCCCCACTAGTTCTAATCATCTCTCCATCAGATTTTGATATGAAATGAGACAAACTGTAAAGACCTGAAGAGTATTCTCTCCATTTACTCATATTTCCTAGCTAAATTTTATGATTCCTCCTTTGTTTTCCCTTCCCTTTGGCTTTTCAAAAAGAACCCTAGAGTGGAGGCTTGTTTCTTTCCATTTTACATTCTTTGAATGGATTTTTGCCACTTTCTTTCCTGGCAATGTAACAAATTTATCATAGAAATATAATTTCTTCATCTTAGTCTTTTGAGTCCCTCTCAATTCTCAAGATACATGTTTAGAATTGACTCAATATTTATCCTTGAAATTGATCTGCTTGTGTCCTAAACTGCAGGAATCCGTAGCTGTTCTTGCATATTTCTCAAAAGTACATGCATTCCCTGTCTGAAAAAGATGTTGCCTGAGGACCAGGATCTTTGGAATCACTATAGAATGTAATGGACATGGAGAAGGAAAGACTTGCTCAGTCTGAATGAGATTTTGGACATGATCCCCAAGAGATGATTCCTTACATTTTCAGAGTTCCAGTGTAAAATTTGTCAGCTTCCAATTCCTCTGAGTTAATTTGAATATAGCTCTGGATTTTACCTTAGGATGTCCCTTCAAAGTCAAGTTTAGAAGAATCTGTAATCTTCCTCGAACATCAATTTTAGATACCTGTGGGTTTGGGGAATGCTCCGCAACTATTTGTACTTCTTTTGCCTTTTCCATTTGCTGTTTCTTCCCTGTGTTTTTGTCCTAGGATGTAGCAAAATGTTGTCACTAAATTTTGTACATGCCTAATCATTTATGGTAAATAAACTTAGCTTTGTGGCATCAAGTGTTTACTCCTCAATTCATTTCCAAGTGTGAATAAGTCATGAAGGTTCAGAAAGATGTACTCTCCCCTTCATTCATCTTTGTAATCTGAAACTCACAAATTCTTCCCACATTTTGAAAACCCTGCTCTTTACCCTTCTCATATGTGGCTTGAATTTCCCACCCTCTCCTTGGTAAAACTTATTCCTTTTTTTCTTTTTGATTGCATGTACTCACTGTCTTTCTTAGTCTTCATTACATCTTATTCTTTATTTTTCCTTATTTCAGATTTCCCTGTGATAGAAGCATGTCTTAAATGCAACTCACAATTGTATTCATTTAGCAATACTCCCAATTTAACCTGTGAATGAAACCTAATGTGATGCCACTTCTTATCTTCCTTTTTCCTTGCTAGCAATTTAATAGACATATTCTTTGACAGTTATTATATGCTAGTGCTCATATTTTTTGGCAATACTCTATTATATTTTGTATCCTATGTGTATCTTACCTTTTACATATCCTTTTATTTTATTCTTTGTGATTGAATGGAATGCAACAAATAGACAACAAGTGCACTCCTCATTATCTTGCTCGGAATCACTCTGTTAAAAATAATGGCAGTAATGGGTTACATATAGATTACATATCACTCTTTAGACACCACCATGTTTATAGATATGAAGTCATTGCAATTGGAGATAAGACAATTACTTTGTGCAACAGTACTTTCCAAATGAGACACTATCTCATGCATTCCACATGAAGCTGAGATGCTTTCTTCATCTGGCTTCTACTGGGGTAATACCAGGAAGAATTAAGAGAGAATGTTTTCCCTGATAACAAACACTGATATGCATATATCTAAAACAATTTAAACCAGTGCTTAACTAGCAAACATACTCAGCAATACTACAAACACAACAGAAAATTTATTTAAAACTCTCTTGAGAAATGGACTTGATATTATACAGATTCAACATTTTAAACAATAAAGGGCCATTATTTAGTGTTAAAATTGATGTGTTAAGAGATTTTCAAATCTGTCACTTTGTGTGGAAATAAAACACACTTGGACTTGTTTGAGTCACCAGAGCTTGGAAAATATGAATGCCATTTAGAAAAATATATATAGTCAAAAATTTATTTTAAAAGGAGAGAAATTCAGAATGAAAATGTGTCTATATTTTATGTAGACAAATGGGCACACTCAATTTGGTTAGAGTATGCAACACTTTTCATTTAAGAATAAATAAAAGGAATTCCAAGAAAGGAAGACACTAGCAAAGTATCATGCTGTGTTTACTGTCTGAATATTTTCAAAGATTGGATCCAGGAAAATGGTTATATGGCTGCATAATAAAAAAGACAGGCTGTGGGGAAACACTGGAATGCCATGACCCAGAGCCAGTCAACAGATAAAACACAGAATCATGGCTCTTAAAAATTGAAATTCATTTGTAGAAGGAATAGGCTGCAGCTGTGCCAGGGAAAACTAACTGGATAGAAGAAAGGAATCTTGCCTCTGGTGAGCAGCAGAGAATCTCACCCACCCAATTAGGAAATGACAAAAAGCAAGAGATAGTTCTCAAATCAGGAATTACAAATTGCCCACAGACATAGCACATTTGGTCAACATCTAGCACTCAAGGAAATACCATTCAAAACTGCATTAACATTTCAGATTTCCCCAGTCAGAATGACATTTATCAAGTAGTTAAATAATAAGTGCAGTGCAGGATGTGGCAGGAAACTACAATCTTACACTATCATACTTAAAATTATGACTTCCACGCTGGAAAACATTATGGAGATTCCTTTGGATACTAGGAATATGACTGCCACATGACCCATATTTCCCACTCCTTGATCTGAATTCCAATGTATGGAAATCAGTATGCACATGTTACATATGAACTTTGATGTTTTAGCACTACAAGTCAAAATTATAAAGTTATAGGACTAACTCTGATACCCATCAATAGAGTATGGAAAACAAAGCATGTGGAGATACTTGGCACTGAGTTTGAGCAAATTAGTTCTTCATGATACACCATTATGTCAAAATGAATACCCAATGGTATATGAAATCACTGTGTATAGTGATTTTATAGTATATGAAATTTTAGAATATAAAATATAAAGTTGTAACAGAAAAATCTCCTTAATTTTATAAAGGAAAATATTTTAGAGCAAAATTAGGAAACTAATGTAGATACCTTTCAATTCAAATATAACTTTTTCAGCAAAGGAGAGATTGGATTTTTGCATAGATATAAAGCTGAATTTGAATTACTGCCAAATCTCCCTGGCAGAGTTAGAGTATGAAAGCATGATTCTCTTTTTGCTGACTACATTTTACATATTTTCTTCTTGGAATACAAGAAAAAATATATATTCATATTTTGGCAAAAACAGTGGTTATGGAGGCACCCATAACAAGAATTAGGGACATGTAAAAGAGAAACTGAGATATAGATATGCTGAGAGCTTTGGGCAGCTAGAATTTGGTCCTCTGGTCTGCCTAAAGAATAAAAGATCATGACACTTTCATTGAAACATATTGTTTGAAGTTGTGTGACATCATGTGCCAAAGTTATGTCTGGCAGAAAAATGTTCTCCTGCAGAACAACAAACTTGAGCAGACATGCCAAGTATGGTTAAGACACTCAGTTGAGAAGCATTTGGAGTCCTTATCCACATTTCCACCACACTGGAGCTTTAGAACTCTCCTGGGGATTAAATAAAATCCTGAGGTCAAACACCATTGAGAAAGGTTCCTACAATGTATATCTGTGGGAGAGATCTAAACCACTGCATGTCTAAACTTCTCAGTTGCATAGTCAACTATCTTCACAAAATGGTGAAGGTTATCCATGATCATATTATCTCAGGATAGTAATAGAAAGGTGCTGAAAACTCTCATCAGGAATTCATGTGTTATGCCTGTTGGACAGTTAGCAGCAGTGTGGAGGTCTAAAGAACATTAACTCTTTAAATGGTAGTTTAGAAAAATAATAGTGAGGGTAAAGTGCTATTTTGAGAATTCAAGTGACAAAATATTCAAGGAGTGTTGGGCATTGTCAGATACAGTGGTATTTTCCTTCAGTTCCCAAAAGAAATCACAGGTTCTGTAAGGAGGCCATGACTTCCATGCTCCAATAGGTTGCCAGGAAACCCCTCAGAGACATGGAATCTTGTTCACCTTTAGACCACTGACTACAGAAATCCATCAGGTGGTCTGCATTACATACTAGTCCCCAGGCTCCATGAACCAGAGTATGTGTCAGGAAGTTCCCACATTAGATAGACCCATATGTCTGAGTACATGAACACATACTGAGGGTGAGGGTTTTCTTCAAATTGCAAAGTTCCCTCAGCATTGTGTGTGGTGGGGGACAAAGGAGCAGAGGAGCTCTGCTTATTCATGCAAAATAACAGGTTAGGCCTTTGGGGGCTATAGAGCAAATAAAGAAATAGCTGGATAATATTTGTTTCCCAGAACCTCCCCAAAGTTATGTGTGTCTAAAATTAGAAATCCTAAACAGAAATATCTTCTTTCTACTATCTTAACATTAGGAAGTCTCAAGCTTTCGCTATTGTTGTTCTTGATATATTTTTGTCCATTATTTGTATGGGTTTTCCATGATAGCTAATTTTTCACATTCTGTCTAATTTTTTAAAGAGAGAGAGAGAGAGAGAGAGAGAGAGAGAGAGGGAGAGAGAATTTTCTAATATTTATTTTTTAATTTTCGGCGGGCACAACATCTTTGTATGTGGTGCTGAGGATCGAACCCAGGCCGCACGAATGCCCGGCGAGCGCGCTACCGCTTGAGCCACATCCCCAGCCCACATTCTGTCTAATTTTTTATGAGAGTTGTACTCCATTCTCTCTTCCTCACCCCTGCCACCCGCTCCCTGGTCACTATTGAGAGATCTTTTTTACTTTCATTTAAAATCCTTTCTTTTACCATTTTATTGCATTTCCTCCTTATCTCCTCTTCTGCCTATCTTTAGTCCCACCACTTTCACTCTTCTTCTTTTTTTAAAGGTGTCCTAATAATTGTATTATAAACAAGGCATCTTTTGTGGCCAGAAAAATATTGTTATTTCCTTCTCCTTTTCTTAATTTTGTGCTGTTATAGAGATCATTTGAAATACCTATTTTATATACAGTTGATAAATATTTTGCTTTAAGCTCTGATCATTGTTGGAGTTTATTATCTCCTCTAACAGAGATTCTGGAGAATGAAAATTGCATGAATAACATGCTAATTTTCACACATGGTACTCAGATATAAATTGTGCCCAGGACACATTCTAAATGGAAACCTGCACACTACAAATACCCACACAAGAAGTGTAAGAGAAGTCCATTAAAAGCATGCAAATCCACCACCTACTAACACAGACAACATGAGAAACAGAGGCAAAAAGACATGTCCAAAATTTCATGATTTTCCAGTAATTGCATCCAATGTCCTAGGTCTAACAACAACAAAGTAGATAAGATAAATATATTTAATAAGTGCATTGATTTCTTGCAGGAAAAGATATAAAATAGTTATTGTTTGTACATTAACAGAAAAGTACCCATTCTTGAATTGTTCTGATTCTGTTACCAGTCAATACTTTTAACCTCAGCATGGATAACAGGTAATGGGAAATTAAATGTCAAGGCTTTGGGAATGAAATTATTTTATATGAATAGGTGCCGCAGTCTGGCTGGGCACAAATCATGAGCTACTTGAAGATTCAAGCAGGAATGAACTTTATTTTTAGAACCCATGCCACACGCTGCCCATTCGAACTCTCCAGGAACTCTCAGAGAGCTCCATTGGAACTTCAGGAACCTAGAGAGCAATCAACTGGAACCCAACCCGTGAACTCCACCCACGCAAACTCTCTAGGAACTCTACAAGAGCCCAAGTGAACTCAACCAACCCACGCAAACTCTCTAGGAACTCCGCAAGAGCTCAAAAATAGCGGGCACCCAAGGCAGCAGGAACCACTCCTTCTGGCAAAATGCTAGGCACCATCTTGACTTGGTTGTGGCTCTCAAAATCAATTGTAATGGTACCAACCTAAGACAGGAGGCTGATGCCTTGAGTCAGCTCATCCAATGACGGGTAAGGACCATATGTAGTATTGGACAACCTAAGACAGGCATGGTCCCTAAGCCACATACTTGTTGTTTAATTAAACAAAAGGGGGGAGATGTTGAGAGCCATGGCCAGGTCAAGATGGTGCCTGGCATTTTGCCAGAAGGAGCGTTCCCGCTGCCTCCGGTGCCCGCTATTTTTGAGCTCTTGCAGAGTTCCTAGAGAGTTTGCGTGGGTGGAGTTTGCGGGTTGAGTTCCGGTTGATTGCTAGAGAGGTTCCGGAAGTTCCAGTGGAGCTCTCAGAGAGTTCCTGGAGAGTTCCTGTGGGTGGCATGCAGCGTGGGATCTAAAAATAAAGTTCTTCCTGCTTGAATCTTCAAGTGGCTCCTGATTTGTGCCCAGCCAGACTGTGGCAAATAGGTTCAGTGGTCATTGCAATTATATATATTCCTAGTTTCAACTGGCTATTCCTAAATCTCCAATTTATCAATAACCATTTAAGGATAAAATGCAAACATTATTCAAAAATATTAGTGTAGATGCTATCATAAAGTTTATCTGTAATCCACTTTGATTTCTAATGTTACTTTCATGTTCAGGACAAGTTAAATTCTCTGTACTTAAATTACTGTGTTTGGATTCCCAAGCAGTATTTTACAGGGTCATTTCATTTGGCCTGATTTACCTTCTGGAAGCAAGAAAATGAGAAGTAATCAGGCATTAAATTGATACACATGCATACCTCTTGCTGGCTATGTCCAGTATCATCAGGCCTCTTCTGTTTTGCCTCTGATGATATGTCCAAATGTGACTCTGCTGAAAAATGCACAGATTTACTTAAATTACTTAATAAATTAATGTGAAAAACATTAAAAGGAAGAGTAGTAATAATCATACAATTTTATTTTGTCAATTATAGTTTTAAATTGAGTTTAATTTTAGGTGAATATATCTACTGTTTGAAATTGCTGGATTTTTTTTTGTAGGCCTGTGTATTCTACACAGGGACATGTGTATTCTTGGCAAATACTATAGCTCTTACTTCAAATTCCATGTCTTTATATTTGGAGACAGGCTGTCTGTGAAGTCCCTGGTTTGCTAGTAACCTGACAAGGGCCTCCCTCTGCCTCTCAAGTACCTGCAAATCCAGATGTGCTCCTCTGAACCCAGTACATACTGACATAACTTGGGAGTAGTTTTACTAATCCAATACTCCAGAAAACCATTTGGGGAGACATTAGGTGTCACCATGCATAATCTCTATAATAACTCACATAAGGATCCACTCAAGGTGAAAATTTCACAGAATAAAATTTGCATTTCCTTGGAACAAGAAGCATCACATGGTTTACTATCTCTCTGTTCAAATATTAAGCTTTAAAAACCCATTGTACTTCATTGTTGGTGTTCCATATAACTGATCACATTTACATCTTGATACAATGAAGTCCATGTTGTTTCTTTTTCATTCTCCTTTTCATTTCTTCTTCTTTATTTTTATATTAGGAATCTTAATCTTTTGAAAATTCCATGATTATGCCTGTTATTCTTGACATAATCTGGTTTTGCTTTCCAGGGGGCTACCTGAGACATTTTTCAGCTTCCCAACTCCATAGTAAGCATTTAACCATCAAATGATTCCTCTTTTGTCTAGTCCATCAGTTCCTGGACTTGAAGGAACTGCTTTTACATCATGTTGCTCTGAAAAATTTTATTTATTTCTAAGTGTATTTAATTTTGTGGTAAGATCTAGAGGAGATAACAGGTGCCAGGGATGAAAACTTTTCTTGAGGTAGTGATGCATGGAAACTTCAAAAGTGAGGTTATCATCCAGAGGCAGGAAATGCTGAAAGCATGAAAGGCTGTACATAAGATAGGGTTTAAACGGAACATGTTTGCCTGACATTATAGTGATTGGAAGGAGACCTGCCAGAGGACATTGCAGACATAGAGTGGGATCAACATAGAGAGTGAGGCAGAATTTGTACTATGAAAGATTCCTAGGAAAGCTAAGATGCTTGGATATCCATGTTCTAAAGAGGGCTGATGGTAATATGTGCAGTATATACAAAAATATCAGGACTAACCTCAATGCTATGAGCAGGCAAACATGAGGGGCATGTGTATGAATGGAGATGAGTGCTAAGAATGTAGCATTGCATGAGTTTGTTGATGCAGGCCTGATTGAAATGAATGTTTCCAGAAATAACAGAGGATAGAAAATTTTCAGTGACCTGTGTTGAATGAAGTTTAATCAAATGAATGGGCCACAGGAATGTGAGATTCTGCTCCTGACTGTAACTCACTCAAGGTTTCAAATGAAGTGTGTAATAAAATGTGTAATAAAATGCAGCAACTGTGAATGTTGTTTTCCTTTACCATGTAATTTCTCCTATTGCAATATCTTCCTAGGTTGAGGGAACTCATTTAGAAAATTGGTCAGAAATTTTCTGAAATTTGGATATACAAAACCCACTAGAGAATCAGAGAGGTCTGTAGTAGAGGCTCAGTCAGACAGCAACTTCTTCGCATATAAAAGCATATCATTCAGTGCCCACAAGTGAGAAGAAAATAAACAATAAAAACATCATTAAAATATGAGCAATCACTTCATTGGTAGGTGCAAGCATATTCTTGATTTACAACTCTTAGTCAAAATTTCTGGAAAGAATGTTCTCTAGCAAATAATGGATTCATTTTACAGAAAAGGACTAAAATAAATTACATATGTGTTGAGTAAAACCACAAGAATCAGATGTACTAAATCAAAATCAGTAATATAGTTTTTGCAAAATTTGCAGTTAATTTTCCAAAAGAAAAATCATTTTTGCAATGGCCAATAATACAAAGACATTGGTATACATACCAATGTCAAGATGCAGAATGCTGGAAAGAACAGTGATCTGTTGTCACAGTAGGAAAGAAAGACCCTGCATAGTTCAATGTCAAAACTGAATTAAAAATGTGGCATCACATATCTTGAGTGAATCCTATCAGAATCATTTATTCCATTTTAATATAAGTACATTTCCTGTCCCTTATTTGCCTTATAATTAGCAATTCCAACTTTTATGATATTCCAGGGGAAGGTATACTTGTTTGCCCATCAGAGTGACTTTTCTAAGCTAATTAGCTTAGATATACTATTTAGAATAACAGCTAGTGTTTGTTCATACCCATGTGGAAAAATGGTGCATTTCCTTTTCTTGTATCCTCCAGTTTAAACAACATCAAATTGCTTTTTTCTGTCTTCTGTGAAGATAGTCGTTCCATATCTATGAAAAAAAATGTATGACAAAGAATAAGGAGTTCAGATAAGGCAATCCAAAAGACAATGTTTTTTGAAGCTTAAAGAATTAACCAATATCAATAAAATGTTGTGTTTCAAAGAACTTTTAAAATGCACTAAAACTAACAGTGTTGGTGTTTCAGGGTAAACTCCATAAATACTTCTGCTTTAAAAAAATGAATCTGAGGGGGGATAGTAGAGGATAGGAAAGGCAGCAGAATACAACAGACACTAGTATGGCAATATGTAAATCAATGGATGTGTAACTGATGTGATTCTGCAATCTGTATATGGGGTAAAAATGGGAGTTCATAACCCACTTGAATCAAAGTGTGAAATATGATATATCAAGAACTATGTAATGTTTTGAACAACCAACAATAAAAATTTAAAAAAAAATAAAAAAAATGAATCTGATGTGGCAAGTCTAGACAGCTTTTCAAATATTTTCACGAAAGGGCTGGTTGAACACGATATTTGCTATCTAGAATTTTTCTCAGGAGTACTATACTTTCCTGACACATTTGGGAACATATTTTCACTGCAACACACCAATAAAATAATGAGAAATACAATAATATTAATAAAAATCTTAATCAATGAAACCATAGAATATTAGCTGTCCTTAACAATCAATGTGTCAAAAATGCTAGGTTGCTCATCTGAGTGACTGCTAAGGATATCTTCTACATTATGGTGCCTACTAGATATAGAGGAAAGAAATTTGTAGCTGCAGGTTGCTCTGATTCTTCCAGTCTCTACTGCTTCCAATCATCTCTGGACCAGGACCAGTCTCACTTTGATTTGAGGCAGATAAACGTAAAACAGCTGAATAGCATTTTGTCCATTTTCTCATTTTTCCTAGCTAACTTATTCAGTTCCTACATTATTTTCCTTCCCCATTGGCTTTTCAAAGACACCCACAGAGGGGGCTTGATTCTTTCCATTTTACATTCTTTGTTTTGATTAGTTTTCACACCTTGCCTGCCAATGTAGCAACTTTATCTTAGATATATAATTTCTTTTTTTAAATTAATTTTTTATTTATATATGACAGCAGAATTCATTACTATTCATATTACACATGTAGAGCAAAATTTTTCATAACTCTGATTGTATACAAAGTATATTCACACCAAGTCGTGTCTTCATACACGTACTTTGGATAATTATGTCCATCACATTCCACTATCATTTCTAACCCCATGCCCCCTATCTTGCCCTCCTATCCCTCTGCCCTATCTGGAGTTTTTCTATTCCTCCCATGCTCCCCGCCCCACTATGAATCAGCCTCCTTAAGATATATAATTTCTTCATCTTTGTCTTTTGAGTCAGTCCCAATTACCAAGAGACATGCTTGAATGTAAGCAAAATTTATGCTTGCACTTGATCATTTTCTGTCCTGAATTGTTGGAACCAATAGCTGTTTTTTTTTTTAAATTCCCCCCCCTCCCCAAAATCCATTCCCTGGCTCCAAATACTGTCTGTGACAGGAATCTTTGGAATAACCTTAAAATGTAATGGATATGTAGAAGCAAAGACCTACTCAGTCAAAATGTTTTGAACATGGTCCCCAAGAGATGTTTCCTTACAGTTTAAGAGTTCCAGTTTGAACACTGTCAGTTCCAATTATTCTATATTAATTTGAATGTACCTATCATTTCTTCCCTATGCTTTCCCCTCAAATAAAATGTAAAAGTAACTATAATCTTTCCAAAGTAAATTTTATATATCTTTGGATTTGGAGATTGCTCCATAACCATTCCTACTTCTCTCTATTATTCCATTTGCTATTTGTTCCCTGAATTTTGTCCTAGGGAGTAGCAACATGTTGCATATCATTAAATTGTATATATGCCTAATCATTCATGGTCAGTGAACTTAGCTTTGTGGGATCAGATCTTCACTTCTCAATTCATTTCCAACTGTGAATAAGTCAGGAAAGTTGGGAAAGCTTTACATTAACTACCCTTCATTCATCTTTGGAACTTGAAACTCACAAGTTCTTCCCACATTTTCAAAAACCTGTTCTTTTCCCTTCTCAAATATGGCTTGAATTTCCTACCCTCCACTGAATTCAACTATTTTTTTCCGTTCTTTGACTCCCTGTTTTTATTATCATCCTCAATCTTCATTGCCTCCTCTTCTCTCCTTTTCCTTATTTCCAACTTTCCTGGGAGTGAAGCATGTTTCAAATGCAGCTCATATTTCAGTTCCTTTAACAATACACCCAATTTAACCTGTGACTAAAACCTAATAATTATTCCACTCTTTTTCTATTTGATAGGTACATTCTTTGAAAAACTTACAATATTCTAGTGTTCAGGATTTAAGGCACATTCACTTTAAAACATTTTAATCCCATATGATTTGTATATTCTACAATGTCTATTACCTTCTTTCTTTGCTCTTCGAGGAAACTCACCAGATATACAAGAAGCAGACACCTCTGGATGTTGCTCAGAGTGACTCTGATAAAAATAATGGCAATAATCAGTTGCATATAGATTTTATTATCACTCTTTAGACATCACCATATTTCTAGTGATGAAATCAATGGAATTGGAAATTAGACCACTACATTTTGTGCACCATATTTTCTTAAGGGACACTATCTTATATACTGCAGATGAAGCTGAGCTCCTCCCTTTATCCGGCTACTCTTAGGTAAACTAAGATGGATGAAATAGGAAATGTATTCCCTGACAACAAACTCACTGATGTGGATATATCCAAAACAACTCACATCAATGTTTAACTAGCTTATTATGCATGCCCCAGAAAATCTATGAACACAATAGGAAACTTATTTAAATCTCTTGAGAAAAGTATTTTATGTTATACAGCATTCAACATTTTAAACATTAGAAGGCCAAAATTTTAAAGTAAAATATGTTACTTCATGTTTAATCTTGTCACTTTGTGTAAGAATGACATAGTGTTGCACTTGCTCCATTTAAATTAACTGAGTCTGAGTTTTACACATTTAAAAATGTACTTGGCACAGAAAATGTGTCTACTTTCAACTGGACATTATATATATATATATATATATATATATATATATATATATATATATATATATATATATATATATATATATCTCCAGATGGGAAGAAAACTCATAGCCCAACTCAATTACTGAAACAGATTCATGGATTCATGTGAAGGTACTTCAATATAAAATTTCAGAAACATGGGGAAATATATGAAAATTTTTCATAAGACAACTGAAATCAGGTAAAATGAAACAGGATTTAAAATATAAATTCTGTCTGATCATCAGTATCATGAACTAGATAGAATTCAATAGTATATTTGTTCAATATTATGAAATATTTTTTTCATGTAGAATTTGATATCCATAAAAATTATTCAGTGAATGTTAAGTATAAAGTAAATTTATTCTCTGGCATCTCAGGAAATTGATCTGATCTGGGTCTTTGTTAACATGTTTTAAAGCATTACAAAAGGAAAGAGGCTTGATTTTAGGCAATGAATCCAGCACAAATAGTAATAAGCACACACACACACACACACACACACACACACATGCCTCACATGTAACGTGTATAGGAAACCATGAAGACATAAAGGCGATTCCCATAATCAAAACAGAAAGAAACCCTAGCTCTATAGTGGAGAATAAGAAGAGGAAGGATATCTCCAATGAGGAAAATAAGGTATTTAATTATGTGAAAGAATTAAAAATGTAGAAAATTATGGTGAGAAATATGCTACAGTGATTTTCCATAAATTCAGTGAAATTATGCAAATGAAAAATACAATCATCTATTTGTGTAAAACATAAAGTTGAACCAAAATTGAAATACAATTAAAGTGTACTGCTTGTCTCAGTAGAGAACAATATTTTCATACTAAGAATAAGGGATTTAAACATAAATTTTAAGATCACTATGTTGAATAGAAGCAGGAATGTGAGTTATTTTTTCTCATCTAACATAATTCGTATTTGATAATATTTATTATTTCATCAAAATTTAGGAATTTTTATTTTTATTTCATCATTTTAGATAGAAACATTTTTATTTTGGTGGTAACTTACTTTTTTAAAATTGAGGTTTATTATGTAAATTAAAGGTATACAACTTAATGATTCAATGTACATATACTTTATGATATAATCATTACAAATAAGCTAAATAATATAACATAATCTTGAACAGTTATCACTTTCTTCATTTTATTTGTTGTAAGAACAATGACAATAGACCTATTAGCAAATTTTAAATACACAATAATCAAGTACATTTTATAAGATATCCTTATCATACATTAAGAAGCTAGGGATTTATCATTCTGAGAAACAAAACTTTGTACTTCTTGATCAACATCTCATTTTCCCCTATTCCTAACCTATAGCAACCTTCATTCTACACTCTACTTTTGTATATTGGATTTTTTTAATATTCCACATATAAGATCATGCAATTAAAAAAAAGAAGGCTCAATTTGGATACAGTGTGCAACACTTTTCATTGAAGACAGAACTAAAAAGAATTCAAAGGGACAATGGTAGAAGCACAGGATCATATGCTGCTTACTGACTGCAAAATATTGGAGATAGGAGTCAGATGATTTTGTGTGTGACTGCATGATGAAAAAGATGGGCTATGGGAAAACACAGGAAAGCCACTATGGAGAGCCTGTGACCAGATGAAGTCAGAAACAGTGTCTTGTAAAGGAATAAATGCATTTATATAAGAAAAAAAGCTGTAGAAATGCCAGGGGAAATCTAGCTGGGTGGACAAGTGGAATTTTCCCTTTGGTACCTGAGGAAAACTTCACCAATCCAATTAGGAAATGGAGAAATGAGTAGATAGAGTGTTCCCAAAAATAAGAAATACAAATTGCTTATAACCATATGAAAAAGTTTTTTTTTTTTTTTTTTAACATTTCCAGCTTTCAGGGAAATACCATTCAAAACTTCGTTGACATTTTAGCTGACCCTGTCAAATAACATTCATCAAGTATTCAAATAATAAGTGCTGGTGAACATGTGAAGGAAAAGTAAATAATATACCATGAGACTAAAATTTAGCATTTATATTCTGCAAAGCAGTATGAATATTGCTCAGAATACTAGAAAAATGATACCATATGGCCCAGATTTCCCAGTCCATGCTTTTTTCCCCAATGTACTTAAATATTTATGCACATGTGACATATGAACTTCAATATTTATAGTGGTACAAGTCACAACCAGAAAGTTATGGAACTAACCCCGACACTCTCCAACAGAAGAAAAGATAAAAATTTGGGGTAATACTTGGCACTTAACTTGAACAAGTTAGATTTTCATGATACACCATTTTGTAAAAAAAAATTGCATATCATGGATGAAAACAGTTCCCTAAAATTTCTATAATATGAAAGTTGTAACATCAAAATCTTCCTAAATTTATAAAAGTATGATATTTTGTAGTAAAAACATGACACTTATATAAATTCCTCTCAATTCAAATACAACATTTTATGCAAAATAAAGACTTGGATTTTTCCAAAAGGAAAATTCAGTGTACTAAAAAAATTGCCAGAGAGAATCAGAGTGTCTGTGCAGGAGCACCTTCACTAATGTTAATTTATGTAGGCTTTCTTCCTAGGATATCAAAAAACCCCACTAATTTGTACTCTTAACTTTTGTAAGACTGAACTGTGGCATAAAACAGTTGCATAAAGCATAAAGCATAAAGCACTTGCAATAAGAATCATGGTGGGTATAGTAGAGAGAGTCAGATGTAGATGTGTGCAGCTAGAGCATGGTCTTAGGTTATATCTAAATAATAGAAGCATATGGCACATTCATTGAAACACATTCATGGTGTTTTCATTTCTGTGACAACACCAGGGATAAGTCTGGTAGAAAACTGGCTGCATGCAGAACAATACACATGAGCAGATATACCAGGTCAACAAACTGTGCTGAGAGTCATTTGGAGATATTGCTCCCATTATACCATACTAGTGTTGAGGGGCAGCATCCTGAAAATTACAATATACAACTCAGACAAAATCCTTTACAGAAGGGTACAATTTTAGCAATACTCAGTGAAAGGTCACAAACCATGCATGTTATACACCTCCAAGACTTGCAGCCAGACCTCCTAACAAAATGTTGGAGGGTTCCTCAATCTTATAGCCTCAAGATAATGATTGATTTCAATGTTTTCAAAGCTCTCATCAGGAAGACGAGTGTTGGTCCTGTTGAACAAACTATAGAGTAAAGGTCCACAGGAGCACTGCCTCATTCAAATGGGTGCTTTGGAAATAATCATAGTGAGGGAGAAGTGCTGTTTGAAAATTTAAGGGACAGATGATTCCAGAAGTGCTGGGGCAGGATCAGAAGGAATGATATTTTCAGGAAGTTATCTGAAGAAGTCACAGATTTTGAAACCAAGCCATGTCTCTCATGCTCCCAGAGATTGTAGGAAAAGGCCTCAGTGACTTGGAATCATGCACAGCACAGGACCACTGAGTACAGAATTCCATAATTGGGGTCTGCACTACAGATTAGTTTCCTTGGACCACAGGGTTTATCAGGCAATTTCTACATTATATAGGCCCATGTCTCTGAGTACACAAACTAATACTGAGAGTGCATTTTCTCTGCAACTTTTAAAGTTCACTCAGCATTCTCTAGGAGGTATGGGGGAGCAAGGAGCAGAAGCCTTTTGGAGCTAGAGCAGGTAAGGAAACTGATGGGCAATATTTACATCAAGAAAACCATACAATGCTTTAGCTTTCCAAAATTAGAAATTCTGGACAGAAGTATCTCCATTTTAGTTACATAAATTTCAGGGAATTGTGAAGATTTCCATGGTTTTATTTGTGACTTTTTTTTGGTCTGCTATTTCTTTGGGTTTGCCAAATTATTTCTTTTTTCATAATAGATCTGATTTTCCAAGATATTTTCATTCGTTTCTTGTTTTATTTCCTTGATTACATTTTTATTCTTATTTTAAATTCTTTCCTATTCTCATTCTTATTGAATTTCATTGCCATCTTCTCTTTAGTCTCTCTCTGCTTACTATAACCACTTTCATTGTCTGTTCTTTTTAAAATCGATCATGATACTTTTATTGTCACTAAGGCTTGTTTTCTTTTTCTAGTCAGGTGCACATTGTTATATCCTATGAACTTTAGTTCATTTCTTGGTATTATAGAAACTATATATATATATATATATATATATATATATATATATATATTATTTTTATGGTATGTATGTTTTGCTTTAAGCTATGATTGTTCTCAGAGATTCACCTTTCTCCTTGATGAGTTGCTCATCTGGAACTTGATGCTGAGAGTGATGGCCTCACGAAACACATCCCAAAGAAAAACTTACACACTGAAAGGACACACACATAACATTGGAACTAAAATGATTGCAAAATCGCCTCCTACTACTGTAGACAACAGGGAAAAAAAAGGGGGGAATTAAGATACCACCAACATTTTAAAAGTTACCAATAACTGCATCCAAGATGTGTATCCTTGGCAAGAACTGTAGCACTTCCTTTTTACTAATGTCCACTTCAGAGGTAGGATGAACATATTTAGTGATTTTCTTGATGTCTTGCATTAAAAAGCAAATGAACTAGAAAGTTTTTGTTTGCAGGCTAACAGAAAGGATACATCCTGAAAGGATTTTGATTCCTTTAACAGACTGTTCAGTTTCTCATTTAAGCTTATTTCCTGCCTCAATTTACATAGTGGAGTCAAGGGAGAATGGAATCTTTAACACCGGCATGGATTAGTGGTAATGGGAAACTAAAATTTTGAGCCTTTGGGAATGATGATGTTTTAACAGAAATGTTTTCACTGGCCATTATAATTAAGTATTTTCTGACTTTTGACTGGGTCTTTCAGAGTTTCAAATTTATTCTTTATGATGTGAGGAGGTCACATAGAAGACAACTGATACAATATTCAAAAAATTTCCTCTATTGCTAAAATGAAGGTTCCTTTTAAGATTCTGCTTCCATGATTTCTAAAGCTATTTTCATATTCATGTCCGGTTACATACTTTAGATTTAAATATTAAATCATGATGTTTGATTTCCAAGTAAATATTGTGTGAGCTCATTTTGTTCAGCACAATGTCCTTTCCAAAGCAAAGAAGGGACAAACACCAGGAATTTAAATTGATACATTTACATACCTGTTGAGGACTATTTTCTGTGACATCAAGCCACTTCTTCTCTTCAGATGATGACTTGTCCCAATGTGACTCTGGGAATGAATGCATAGATGTACTTAAATTACTTAAAAGAGTTAGACTGAGTGAATTTCTAGCCAACAAAAACATAATTGTAATAATCATAAAATTTTATTTTCACAATGATACTTTTAAGTTTAGCTTAATTTTAGGTGAATGTTCATGTTGTTTGAAATTTTTTGATTGTTTTGTGAACTTGGTGGTTGCACCCAGAGCCATGTGCATCCTTGGCAACAACTGTAGCACTTCCTTCAAATCTGAGGCCTTAAATGTTTTTGGAGACAGAGTGTCTAAATATACCCTGGCTCATTGGAAACCTGCCTACCTCAGCCTCCCACTAAGTTGAAATACACTAAGTTGAAATACCCAGGGCGTTTTGAGAGATTTAGGGAATAGTTTTACTAATCCAACTTCAGAGACACTAGTGGTCACCATGTTCAATAAACATGATATCTTAAAGATTCAGCCATTAAAAAATGATATTTTACAGAAAAAAATATTGAAATAACAACGGACAGAAGAAACTTCACACTGTTTACTATGTCTTTTTCCTAATAGTAATTTTTAATGAATCACTGCACACGATGTTTGGTTTCTGCACAAAAAAAAAAGGAAAGAAAAAAAGAGGTCACTGTCATACCTTTGCCAGTGAACCCCATATTCCTTTCCTTTCCTTTTCCTGCATTTCTTCTGTTAGGAATCACTATGTTTTTGGAAGGATTTCTCATGGTGCCTTTTAAATCCTGAAATAAACTGTTTTTGCTTTTCTGGTGTTAGCTACCTCAGACCATGACCCGCTATTGTACTTGTTAACAACCACTTGACCTGTAAATTATTCCTTCTCTGTCTAGTTCTCTAGGTCCTGGACTTCAGGGTCTCCTTTTCAACCCACTGGTTTGAACACCCATAATAAAGTGTCAGGTAAGTGTCTGAGGCAATAACACTTGGCGTGGATGGTGTCTTTTCTAGAGGTAAGGATGAATGGAGACTTGAGGAGTGAGGCCATCAGCCAGAGGAAGAGAATGGTGAAAATGTGGAAAGCTATAGTATGACACAGAGACAAGGGTTAAGGGGGATGGTATATGTCTGATGATACAGGGATTGGTGAAAACTGCCAGAAGTTCATGTCGGTAGAAAACGGGCTAAAGATAGATTTAGGAAGACTTGCACTGTGAAAGATGCCTCGAAATGTTAAGGTGCTTGGACATACACATACCAAAGAATGTCATCTATGCCATGGGCACATATGTATCTGGAACCATCTCAATTCTGTGGGCATGTGAACTTGAGGGGCATGTTCATGATTGGAGATGAATAATGAGAATGCAAATTGCTCTATGAGGTTGATGCAGGCCTGAATGGAAGGAATGTCTCCAAAAGGATCTGGGTTCTGTTTTTACCATACAGATGAAACGAGCAAACAACAAGACAAAGAACAATGAGCAAAAATTCCATTGGGATATGCAGGTATGGATTGACTACTCTGAGTTAAAATTTCAGGAAAGAGTGTTCACCAGCAAATGTTCACTTTAGAAGCAAGGGGTAAACTAAAGTATATATGATCGCACATCTTATTATTTCTTGCCTCAAACTTCCCACAAGAGTTGTCAGAGTCAGGGCATAAGTGGCATAAAAACAACTTTGATGCACATAAGACATGTGATGTCACACTAGATGTCAGGGTAGAGTGCACATTGTCTTATAAATGAGATTTTCCTGTATTTCACAGACTGGCCTTGACATCTTGGCTTCAAGAAAACT